TGTTTCTCCTGATTTTGAGTTGTGCTCCATCTGCTAATGATGGTCCTGAAAAATTTTTCCATTTGCATCATGACAGTCAGCTCTACTTTGAGGAGGCAGCTCTTCCCCAGTCGTATTTTGAGTGCCTTCCAACCTGAGGGGCTTATCTTCTGGCCCTATATCTGACAATGTTCCGCTGCTGTTCATGAGGTTTTCAGTGGATAAACACTCAGAAGTAGTCTATCTCTCCTTCCTAGTCTGTCTTAGTCTGGAAGCTCAGCTGAAACCTGTCCACCATGGGTGACCATGCTAGTATTTAAAATACCCATGGCATAGCTTCCAGCTTCACAACAACACACATACCACCAAAGTAAGATAAACTGACTGATAAGTAATGGATTCCATAAGGTTGTTGTTGTGATGTGCCGTAGAATTGGTTCCGACTCATAGTGACCCTGTACAGGGTTTCCGAGGCTGTAAATCTTTACGGGAGCAGAAAGCCTCATCTTTCTCCCGTGGAACAGCTGGTAGTTTTGAATTGCTGACCTGGCAGTTCACAGCCCAATTTGTAACCACTACGCTACCAGTGAAGAAGACTTGAAACATTTACTGATGAAGATCAAAGAGCACAGCCTTCGGTATTGGTTGCATCTCAATGTCAGGAAAACAAAAATCCTCACCACTGGACCAATAAACACCATTCTTATCAATGGAGAAAAGATTGAAGTTATCAAGGACTTCATTCTTCTTGGATCAACTGTCAACACTCGCGGAAGCAGCAGTCAAGAGATCAGACGACGTATTGCATTGGGCAAATCTGCTGCACAGGAACTTTTTAAAGTATTGAGGAGCAGAGATGTCAGCTTGAGGACTAAGGTGCGCCTGACCCACGCCTTGGTATTTTCAATAACCTCATATGGATGTGAAAGCTGGACAGTGAATAAGGAAGATCGTAGAAGAATTGATGCCTTTGAGTTGTGGTGTTGGAGGAGAATACTGAAAGTGCCATGGACTGCCAAAAGAACCAATAGATCTGTTTTGGAAGAAGTGCAGCCAGAGTGCTCCTTGGAGGCCAGGATGGCTAAGCTTCATCTTTCATACTTTGGACATATTGTCCAGAGGGAACAGTCGCTGGAGAAGGATGTCATGCTGGGTAAGATGGAGGGTTAGAGAAAAAGAGGAAGACCCCCAACGAGATGGATTGGCCAGGTGGCATCATAGATGGCGTCAAGTGTGGCAGCAGTAGTGAGGTTGGCCCAGGATTGGACATTGTTTCGTTCTGCTGTGCATGGGGTCCCTATGAGTCGGTTCCGACTCGATGGCACCTGACAATGACAACAACAATAACAACAACGCTACCAGAGCTCTTCAAGGTGCTAGGTGATCAATGCTGTAAAGGCAGTAGAAGCATTTGTGAGGGTTCTGAGCAGAATGGCAGGAGGGCAGAAGTTTGACAGGTGGAGATGAGCTAATGGCCTTCTAGAGATGGAAACACATGAGCATAGATGCAGTTAGACAAATGCAGGGAACATGGAGACTGTGAATGGCTCACTTGCACTGCGACAAAGCTTCAAATGTTATAAAGGGAAAGACCTTTGGAATTGGGCCTGAATGCTGCTGGCCTGGGGAGCCATCCAAGGGCTTTGTCTTAGCTGTAACAGTGTTGAACTGTGCTTAACTTGGGTGCTTGAGCGTGTTTCTGTGTGGCACTGGGCTAGTTAATAGCACTTAGGAATCGGTGTGGTGATTTGGATGGAAGTGGACTGGCTAAGAGGGTAGATAAGCAGGGACAAGGGGAAGAAGGCTAGGTGTGAAGCTGGAGAAAATAGGATGGGATGATGCGAGAGTTAAGCTTGGGTGACTGGCAGGAAGGTGATGGTGCCATCAGAAACAAGGGTGGGCAGCAAGAGGAGGATCTGGTCAGGTGTTTAAGAGGGATCTTTGGGAGAAGGAATGGCTCTGGGTTTGGAATCAGAAGACCCAAGCTAATATGGCTGATGGGCTACATGCCAGCTCTGGCCTATGGGTTCTATCCACTCTTTTTTTTTTTTTTTTAATGCTCAGATTTTTATTTCAACATTGCGAATTCTGAACAATTTAAACAAGCATCTCTATGTACATAAATTAGGCATTTGTAAACATGGTGTCTACACATACAAATTATTGGGAAAAGTACACTAAAACCTTCAACACTTCTCATGATCTCAAAAATAATCTTTATTGTTCCTAATGCAGTAACTTTCCTTACATTTCCTGGTGAGAGACTCTTAATTCTCTAGTGCTAGGCAAATTACACAGGGTTGTTAAATGCTAACACATCAGTGCTTTTCATTAAATACATAACACACTCTAATGAGACAGGATTGTTCTCCAGGCAGTTGCAGATAGCATTTGGTCAGGAATGACTGTATGAAACTCAAGTCTGGCATGTTCTGCTTAGTTTTGCCTTTCTATTCAGGTTTCCAAAGATTAAGTTCCTGAAAGATCTTTCACAGGAAATCTTCACATCCACGTGGCAAAACACTTTCCTTTTCCATTCAGAAAAGCAGCTTTCTCAATCTAGTATCCTTAGAAAAGCTTTTGGTGAAGTTAGGTCCACGTGTATCACGGGAGGAGTAGCCGCCACCATCTTCGCCTTGCCCGTTGCGGGCTCTCGCTTCCGCCTCCCACCCACCTTCGCTTTACTACGACCAGAGGTCCCAGGCCGACCCGCCCCACATTGGGGACTTCGAAGAGCAGCGTGAGTCGCAGAAGCGCAGCGGGGGTCGTCCCACCCCCTCGGCCTCGCCCGAGGGCGCGAAGTGGCATGAAGGAGCAGGTCTAAGGCAGCCGCAGCACCTCAAAGGACCATGTGGGTGAATCTCTATCCACTCTTGAAAGGAAACAGTAATGCCTGCCTTATAAGACTATAGGAAAGGCTAAGGTCTGAGATGCTTAATTAATGGTGTGTTTTTTGTGTGCTATTGTTTGTAAAGGAGTCTTGGTGTGGCGCTATGGGTTAATGCGCTAGACTGCAAGGTCAGCAGTTCAAGCTCATCAGCTGCTCCTCAGAAACCCTATACAGTGTCACTATGGGTAGGAACCGACTTGACTGCACTTCACAACAACAGCATTTGTTTGTAAAAGCGGGGAGGGTAATAAGTGTGGACATGAGACATCCATAAGTTATTTTCCAGGCAATTGAAAATTCAGTCTAGAGCTCCGGGAAGAAGATACTACCAGAAGTGAAATGTTTTTATAAGTTTTCAAAGTGAAAGTTAAAAGCATAAAATAAGATGCCTTGGGGAAAGTTTAGAGAATGGAGAAGTGGACCGCTGGACTAACTACTGGAAAAGTCTACGTTTAGGGATGGAACAAGGTGTGCCAGAAAAGGAGAAAGAGGAAGCAGAGTGGGGTGGGGTGGGGGTGGGGGGCGAATCTGGAGTGTTCAGGTGATAGGTACATAGGGTGCAAGGAATGTGTTTCCCGAAGGAAAGGCAAGGTGGCCAGCAGTGCCAAATGCTGTTGGGGTCAAGTAGAGGACATAAAATCGAATGGTTAGAAGGTCTTTGATAACTTTTGGAAACTGGTTTCTTCTAGATAGTCTGATTTAGAGAAAGCAGGTAGTGAGAAAATAGTCTCTCAGTGTTGGTTACTCGTGAAGTCAAAGGAAAAGCTAGATGGCATCTCAGCAGATACACGTACACAGGGGAAAGGAAGGAGGGTCATTTTCCTTTTCTCAGTTTCTGAAGGCCTAGAATTTCTCACTTAGTTGTTGTTCTAAGTCCTGGCGTGGTGCTGTAAGATAAGCACTAGACTGTGAGGTTGGCAGTTCACATTCACCAGCAACTCCTCAGAAACCGTATACAGGGTCGCTGTGAGTCAGAACCAACTTACCGGCACTTAACAACAAGAGCTTGTTTGTTGCAGGTGGAGTGGGGAAGAGAAGGTGAGAGGTAGCGAGTGGTTGTTGCTGCAAGGTGCCTGGGAGGAGGTAAAAGCAGAAAGGTTGAACAATGCTGGAGGTCTAGGAAGGAGCAGGGGCGCACTCTGAGACAGGAAGGCAGGAAGAAGCGCTGAGGAAGGTGTTGTGGGAGTGCACAGAAAGCATCCAGCATGACGCTTGTGTACGGTAAACGTTCAGAGATGATTGGTTGATTGGTCCTTTCTTCTTTCTGACTCCCTTCCTTATCTTGAGCTCAGACTCATTGTTCCAGCTGTTTGCTGGACATTTCACCTGAGCTATATTAGTTAAACAGTTTGTCTCTAAAATAAGTCTTCAATTCTCTCCCCTTTCTTCTCCACCTTCTTGCCTGGATTATTAGCATCACTTCCTAACTGGCCCTCCCTAACTGGCCTCTCTCCTGCAGTGTACAGTCTAACCCACAGCAATCTGATCATGACTCTGCTGCCTAAATCCCAAAGGCTTCGTGTTGCCTGGTATCTAATGTGTTTGCTGCTTCCAGATGTCACTCTGTCTTCCCAGCTTCCCGCTTCTCCTGGGATCTCCTGCCATTCGACATCTCCCATCCAGCTCTCAGCAAACTGAGCTTCTTACTGGTCCCTGACATGCCAGGATGGACCATGCGCCATGCTTTGTTCCATGGTCTGCAGTGTTCCTCCAACGCTCTCTGCTTGCTCATTTCTCACACTTGGTTTCCCTAAGCAATGCCATTTGGTTCCGTTTTACATTCTCTTTGTACAGGTCCGCAGTCAAGCCGGCAGGCTACATTGCAATGAATTCATTTCCTGTCTGTCTGTCTTGTGGGCTGTGAGTTCACTAAAGACCCCTGGATTCTCCGTACCCAGCATGAGATTGGTGTAGATGCTAGTAGAGTCTCAGTGGTGGTTGTTGAATGAATGAACAAACAGATGTGCTGTGTAGTGGGGAAGCCTGTGGTGGTCAGACATGTGTGCTCAGGATTTTGAGACGCGTTAGGTAGAGAGAGCTGTTCTCCTCCAGTGCCCTAACCTTTGTTAGGTAGGCTAGTGCCTGCTTGCTGGCAGACTGTTCCTGCTGACCTTTGGGCTCTTGTCCCCAGATGGGACCGAGTACGGGCTGACTGAAGCTGACATGGAGGCCTCCTACGCCACTGTGAAGAGCATGGCTGAGCAGATTGAGGCCGATGTCATCCTTCTGCGGGAACGGCAAGAAGCTGGTGGCCGTGTGCGGGATTACCTGGTCCGGAAACGAGTAGGAGACAACGACTTCCTGGAGGTCAGGTGAGAAGATCTCACACCTCGAGGGTGTCACAGAGACTGGGGATGACTGAGGCTAGGACTCCTGTGTCAGCTCCACCCCATCTCTGATGCCCTTTCTTTCCCTTCCTGAGACTTGGAAGGAGCGTCCAGGGATGTGGTGGCTCTTGTCTCTTCTGTACTTCCCCATCTTTGGATACTTGGACTTGGGAACAGTGGGAGAGGGCCTAGTCACCTATTCTGTGGTCACTGTGGGCATCATTTGCTTTCCCATCAGCCTGTGAGTCTAGAAAACGGGGTGGGGGCGGGAGGGAGGTCAAGTGAGCATTTGAGCCTGGCTTTGGGGGTCCTTCCTGGCCCCTCTGGGGGAGTAGTGGAAGTAAAGGAGCTAGCTGCTATGCTACAGTCTCCGTTCCTCCATTCTACTCCCTGGATGCAGCTCCATCCAGGATGGACTCATCTGTGACTAGGAGGGAGAGTGAACCTGCGGGACTTGGGGGCCAGTTTACTTAGCGATCACGTGACGTACTCACTATCCCTGACTGACTCAGGTGCCTGGGTTCATATACACACAGGGTAGCAGTCGTGGGCAACGTGGACGCCGGCAAAAGTACCCTTCTGGGCGTCCTGACTCACGGGGAGCTGGACAATGGCCGAGGCTTTGCCCGCCAGAAACTCTTCCGCCACAAGCATGAGATTGAATCTGGTCGTACCAGCAGTGTGGGCAACGACATTCTGGGCTTTGACAGTGAAGGCAATGTGGTGAACAAACCAGACAGCCATGGGGGCAGCCTTGAGTGGACAAAGATCTGCGAGAAGTCCACAAAGGTCATTACCTTCATCGACTTGGCTGGTCATGAGAAATACCTGAAGACCACTGTCTTTGGCATGACTGGCCATTTACCTGACTTCTGCATGCTCATGGTAAGCCAAGTGCTTCTGATGAGGGGGCAGGGGTTCCAGCTGGACTTCTTGGGGTGCGACCCTGCAAATACTTGAATTTGTTTGGAGAAGGAGGCCCATTGGCTTGGGGTTTTGATGATGGTCAAAGGTGAGAAGATTTGCAGGAGTGCTCAGTCCTGAGTCCTCTGGTCTTGTGATAAGGGTGAAGCTGCTAGAGCTATCTTCTAAGACAGACCAGGAAGGAGTCCTCTTGGTAAAAACTAAGGGGTCATTTGCAGACCTGCTGATTGTTGGCCGTGTTCTTTCTGTGGCATCTGGCTGCTTTGAGGAGGCAGCATTCTCACAGACACAGGAGGTATGGCGTGGCTGAGGCAGCATTCCAGAGGGGCCTTTGTGCTGACTTCTTCCCAGGTCTGTGGGGAGTGTCTGGGGTGCACAGGTGAAAAGCCTGGGGATGGAGCAGTGAACAAGACAGCTCATCACAGAGATGAACAGAAGACTGAGGGGCTTGCATCGTGTCCCCTTCTCTCCCTCTCTGGACAGACTGTAGGAGTCCATGAGGGCCCACACCTTGCACACGACTTCATGGAAACACTGAGCGTGTTTGCCTTTGGCAAGTCCTTCCCAAACCCCTTCCCATTCCCAAGTCCTCCAGCTGCCTTTATTGATAAGTGCAGTAAACACAAGCATCTGTTCAGAGCAAATTTGATCAAGTTACCCCACAAACACAGGCTCTCGTTAGATTCTCCCCAGAATGAAGAGAACACATGCATGGACACTCTTGTCGGCTCTCTGCCTACGGTTCTCAGGACCACAGCCCAGTTTCATCTCTGATTTCTCTGAGCATTACCCAGGGGTCATTACTGACTTCCTTGGCGAGGCTACAGAAAGGGGTCTTAATAAAAAATCTGTTGGACATATTTGGGGGAGTTGCTGGGTTTTAAAAGTAAGCATTTTTCTAGTGACCAAGACTAACTCATGGAAATAAGTTCACCACTAACAAAATGTTAGATATTAGAAATATCTAGGAGTCCTGGTATGGCACTGTGGGATAAAGTACTGGATCGCAAGGTCGGTTTGAACCACAAAGTTGGCAGTTCAAACTCACCAGTCACTCCTTGGAAACCCTGTACTGGGTAGCTGTGAGTCAGAACCGACTCCAAGGCACTTAACAACTACAAATAGTAAATGAGGAAATGTTTTATTAATGTTCCATGGCAATCCATTTCCAGGAAAAATAATCTTGAAAACTTATACACAACAAGTACTGAGCCTCCTCTCTAGGCTGGGAAGAGTGCCGTCAGGTCTTGGTTGGAGTGGAAAGGGGGAGGGAATAGGGAAGATTCAGAGGAAGACAGTGGAGGTATCCTGGTATGGCCAGGAGAGCCCAGGCAGGTGTGGAACATCTGTGTCAAGGGGGTGCTGACTCACCTGTGAAGTTTGATCAAATGAAAGCATATAAGCATAAATATGCCATGGCAATGTCCTTTAATGTAATTTGTCCTAATCAGTAATATAATCATGTGGCACAAAAATGAAAGAGATCCATATTTGTGCTCATTCCAAAGAGAGGTGGTGCAGCGCCATGTGGAAATCATTGAACAATATCATTATTATCACAGGCAAGTAAAACTTTGTTGAAGATCAGTTTAAAACAGTTGTAGCAGGACAGGGAGATGTCAGAAATGCAAGTCAGATTCAGACGGTGGTGTGAAATGAGGCTATCAGTGCTGATCACCGATGGTTCTTGACTGGAAAAAGCAGAGACTATCAGAAAGTGGTTGACTTGTGCTTTATTGACTCTGCAAAGGCATCCGGCCTTGTGGATCATAACACACTATGGATAACATTGTGAAAATGGGTATTCCAGAACACTGCATTGTGCTCATGAGAAACCTGTACATAGGCCAAAAGGCAGTTGTTAGAACAGAACTAGGGGACACTAAATGGCCTAAAGTCAGGAAAGGTGTGTGCCAGGGTTACATCCGTTCACTATACTTAATTCAGTTTGTATACTGAGCAAATAACCACGAAGTTGGATTATATTAAGTAAGAATGTGGCATCAGAATTGGAAGATGATTCATTAACAACCTGTGATACACAGAAGACAGAACCTTGCTTGCAGGAAGTGAAGAGGACTTGAAGTGCTTACTGATGAAGTTCAAAGACTACAGCCTTCAGTATGGGTTGTACACGTTAATGTAAAGAAAACAGAAATCCTCACAACTGGATCAATGAGTGACATCATAAAAAGAAGAAGAAGTTGTCAAAGACTTCATTTTGTTTGGCTCCACAATCAATATTCATGGAAACAGCAGTCAGGAAACTGAACGACATACTGCATTAGGCAAGTCTGCGGCTGTAAAAGATCTCTTTAAAGGGTGTGAGAGCAAAGATGTCTGTTTGAGGACTAAGGTTTGCTTGACCCAAGTCCTGGGATCTTCAGTCACTTCCTATGCATGTGGAAGTTGGACATTGAATAAAGAAGACTGTAGAGGAATGGATACATTTGAATTAATGGTTGGCAGAGAATATTGCAAGTACCATGGACTGCCAGGAGAACAAACAGATGTGCCCTGGAAAAAGTACAGTCAGAGTGCTCCTTAGAAGTTAGGATCGCAAGGCTTTGTCTCATGTTCTTTGGACATGTTTTAGGGAGGGACCAACCCCTAGAGAAGGAAAACGGGAGGGTCAGAGAAAAAGAAGACCCCAGTGAAATTGATTGACACGTGGCAGCCACAGTGGACTCAAACATTGTGAGGATGACCCAGGCCCAGACAGTGTTGCATTCCATAGTGCATTGGGTCGCTGTGAGTCAGAACTGACTCAGTGGCACCTAACAACAACAACAGTATCCACTGTAATACACCTTGTTTTGTTTTCTCCTTAAAGACTTAATTGGTTGTTATCCTGTATGGGTAGAGAAGAGTTTCCTTTCTTTGGTAGGGCACATTTTGAGTTTGTCTTGATTTCTTTAGCCAGTGATATGTTTTAAAAAGTTCATTTATTCCTTGAGGTAGTGGTGACTGTGGTAGCAACTGCTGGTCTCACCTCGTCTGTGCCAAACCCTTCACAGATGATGTGACATTTAGGCCTGAAGTGACGCTTTAAGTGGCATTGTTACCCTCCCGTTTTACAGGTGGGAAGACTCAGGGTCAGTTGGTTTTCTAGATGTCTGGGTATTTTCTTTATTATCTCCAAGTTCCCTCAGATTTTAATAGCCCATGTCAGTTAGTCAGCTGTTACAGTGATCCGTGTCCTGTCCAGCTTTCATCTTCAGCCATATTGTTCCTGGCTTTAGACCTGCACAAATGGGAGTTCTCTCCCGCACAGCCGCCTTTGAGCTTCTGTGTCCAGCAGCACCTCATGTTCCCCTTGTCCTGACGGTTCCTTTCTATGTTGGCACAGGTGGGCAGCAATGCTGGCATTGTGGGAATGACGAAGGAGCATCTGGGCTTGGCCTTGGCACTCAATGTGCCCGTCTTTGTGGTGGTCACCAAGATTGACATGTGTCCTGCCAACATCCTGCAAGGTAAGTGAAGTGCCTGTCTCGGGAACTGTCACCCAGGTGGACTTGCTCACAATCACCTGCGTCTTCTTCCTGTTTAGATCTGGGTCTGAGTAGAGCCGGGAATCGTCCCTGATCTTTGTTCCTTCTGCTTCTAAATGCTGGATGGTTAAGATTCCTGGTCTGGTACCATTTTTGAGATGGCCCCCAGAGAAAGGGCTTGGTCCTGTCTTCTAAAGTGGATAAACACATACGTGTGGACCTTCGGGCAGAGGGTCTCATTACCTTTAGTACCAAATGCTTCCCCATAGGAGTGCAGCAGCAGGCCTCCCTGCATGTCCCCTGCACTGCTACAGGCTACGCAAGAGACGTGCCCCTTTCGAGAGCTTCCCACAGGGCTGCTGCAGACGGCCCTAGGATCTCCTTTCAGCACATGAACACTTTTCTAGGAAGAACATTCTCCCTCTTGGGAGCCCCAAGTCACTTGCTTATAGGATGTGCGTCTTTAGAGACTGGAGAAATCCAGTAGGCTTGTAACCAGTGAACACAGGCCCCATCTGTGCTCTTTTTATTCATGCTCCCAGCCCCCAAAGTTTTCCTCCTTTATGCTCCTCCAGGCATTGTGGCAGTTAACCCTGGTCCATCCATCTGTCTGTCTTCTGCTTACATCATTGTTGAGTAGACCCGTCTTGCCCTGGAAGCCTGGCAAAAGAGAAGCTGGGTCCTCCTAATTCTGTTCTGTTTCACTCTTTAAGAAACCCTGAAGCTGTTACAACGCCTGTTGAAGTCCCCTGGGTGCCGGAAGATCCCCGTGCTGGTACAGAGCAAGGACGACGTGATTGTCATGGCCTCCAACTTCAGCTCGGAGAGGTGGGGTCTCCACGGCATCTCTTAGAGGTTGGGGTGTAGTGAGTGATAGGCTGGGCAGCTGGCACTTGGGGCAGCAGGTCTCAGACACACATCAGGACCCTCCCACTGGGATTCCGGATTGGGTGGCATCTCCCTGGCTGCCAGTTCTGCTTCCCACTCAGAGGCACTGGATCGCTGCGATTGGAAGGCCAGCGGAGAGCCGCTGTGTGCTGTCTGTGCAGTGGGAATGTGCCTGCCTTCCCCACGGGACTCCTCCCAGTCTTCCAAGTGATGTCCCTAAAGCAGTTAGCACGGTGCCTGGCTGCCGAATGTCTAATGGAGGCACAGCCATTTCCATGCCTGTTACTTACTATTAATGGCTTGTTTTTACTGTTGTTTCTCAAAAGCCCTTTAGTGGCAGATGGATTTTGGCATTTACTCATGAACGTATTCTTTCACGGAGTAAATATTTCCTGGCTATTCTGCACCTGGCTCTGTATCTAGGTGTTGAGGGTTCTGAGTTGACTTGGACAGAGTCCTTAAGTTCATTGCTTTTGGAAAGAGATCATAGCGAACTGGGGTTAGCCAGCCCCCCACCCCCCCAACTCTCCCTGATAATCCCTGTGTGTCTGGCCACCTGCCTCCTGAGTTGGTCAGTAGGGCGGGATCTAGAAGAGCCAGTGGGAGCTGCCCTGATGCTGTAGTGCCACCAGCTGACCAGCAGAGGGGGTGCTAGTCAACAGCTGGCCCCACTTCAATTTATTCATAGGCGCTGTAGGGTGAACACTGGACTACTAACCACAAGGTCAGGGGTTCAAACCCACCAGTCACTCTTTGGAAACCCTATACTGGGGTCTTTGTGACTTGACAGCACATAACAACAACAACATTGAGTGTTGGGGGTGTTATCCGGGGTGGGGGGCTCAGTGGTTAAGTGCTTGGCTGCTACCCTTTGGTTTGACCCCACCAGCTGTCCTGCAGGAGAAAGCTGTGGCAGTCTGCTACTGTAAAGATGACAACTTCAGAAAGCCTCTGGGGCGGTCTCCCCATCCGACAGGGTTGGCGGGACAGGTTTTGTGGACGCACTATTCCGGGAGCTCTGGGGAGTGCGTCATTCCTGGCCTGAACATTCTTTCACACTTGATAGTAGGTCTAGAGGCCTTTCAGGTCAGCTGATGGGCAACCTGAAGTAGTCACATGGACAGAAGTCACATGGACAGACACAGAACACAGACAGCCGTCTGAGGACCGAGCTGTGGAGGGTGCCAGGGAAGCAGTGGCACGTGGCCTAGGTGTTGAGGGATTCAGATTGGTTAAGAGGGAAGGAATTCAGGTAGAAGCAGCAGTGCAGAGCCGGAGAAGAGTACAGGAATCTCAGAGAACTCAATCTGGAGAGACGGCTAGGAGCCCACGTACCAGGGAATCTGGGCCGTCTTCTCAGCAGTGCAAAGGCGGGTAAGGACTGGCAGCAGTGTGTGTGTGTACCCTGGAAGAAGAGGCAGTGGGTGGGGACAAAGGCGGGCAAGAGGGTTGGGGCCACTTGTCAGTGCGGGAGCTGGCTGCCTGAGCACCTCTTTGTCTCCCACCCTTTCTCTTCACCCTCCACTTAGGATGTGCCCGATATTCCAGATTTCCAACGTTACAGGAGAGAACCTCGATCTGCTCAAGATGTTCCTCAACCTCCTCTCCCCCCGCACCAGCTACCGGGAGGAAGAGCCCGCCGAGTTTCAGATCGATGACACCTACTCTGTCCCGGTGAGTGGCTGCTTCTGGACTGAGCTGTGTGGGGGGCTTGTGGGGCACTTCTGACATGGTGATGGGGGGCAGGCCTGGGGTGGGGGCATTGTGTGGGCTGGGCTGGGCCTTCTTACTGTGCTGGGGTCTTCTCTGCAGGGTGTAGGGACGGTGGTGTCGGGGACAACACTGAGGGGCTTGATCAAATTGAATGACACGCTGCTGCTGGGCCCAGACCCCCTGGGGAACTTCCTGTCCATAGCTGTCAAATCGATCCATCGCAAGCGCATGCCTGTCAAGGAGGTGCGGGGCGGCCAGACAGCCTCCTTCGCACTGAAGAAGGTAAGTGTGGTGCTGCCTGAGACACTGGCTTGGGACCTAGTGGTTCCTCCCCCATCCTGTCCTCAGGGCTACTCCGCGAGTTACGGGTAGCAGAGCGCACTCGCACAGGGGAGGAAGCGTTGGCTCAGAACCCAAGTTCCTTGCCCCAGAGCCCACAGTAGGTGCCAGGGCAGGGTTTGGCCCCAGAACTGCCTGTCTCTGAAGCCAACTTGTCGCTCGAGTTCTTGGAGCAGGGTCCTGAGCAGAGTCCTGTCTATACAGAGGCTCCTGCCACAGAGGGTCACTGGATTCTTGCCACATCGGCCTTTCAGCTGGCCTTCTGTCCCTCCCAGAAGATGAACCAGGAAAAACGGACACACACACACACACACACACACACACACACACACACATGTGCGCGCACGTACTTGCGCACAACTCACCTAGTGTTTGCCTTCCGCCGCTCCTCCCCCGCTGTGTTTTTTTCCTGCTTGCCCTCCTAAGCCCTGGGGCAGGGGTGGGCACCCTGTGGGAGGGGTCAGCACAAGGGGTGAAAGCAGAGGTGTTCTGCTGACTGAGGTCTGGGCCTCCCTCTTCCTCTTGCCTTCAGATCAAGCGCTCGTCCATCCGGAAGGGCATGGTGATGGTTTCCCCACGCTTGAATCCCCAAGCATCCTGGGAGTTTGAGGCGGAGATTCTCGTCCTTCACCACCCCACCACTATTAGCCCCCGCTACCAGGCCATGGGTATGTGTCTGTGAGCTCAGGAGGGCCCCACTCACCCCCCAAATGCTCCAGCCACTTGAGCCCTAAGCTTAGTGTCAGGTGTCCATCATGACCAGGGAGCTGCTCTGTGCTGGGCTCTGGAGATCTGACCTACAAGGAGCTCGCATGCTGTCCTTCTGTGAACATCTCCTGACACACTGTGTGCCCAGAGGTGTTGTCAAGGTGCTGGGAACAGTAATGACCTGGGCAGGAGCCTTTCCATGGGGAACTCACGTTCCAGGGATCCAGGATCCAGGACCAGCTTCTGTGCAGGGTCCAGGGCCATGGGGGGAAGTGGGTGAGGGCAAAGCAGGCCTCCAGTTCACTCCACCGCCCCCTGCCTTCCTGAGGGCTTTAGTCCCAGAGATGGGGCCACCCTGTGCAGCTCCAGCATACTGCCTGACCTCCCGGCTCCCTGACAGTGCACTGCGGGAGCATTAGGCAGACGGCCACCATTCTGAGTATGGACAAGGACTGTCTGCGCACTGGGGACAAGGCCACCGTGCACTTCCGCTTCATCAAGACCCCCGAGTACCTTCACATAGACCAACGGCTGGTCTTCCGGGAAGGCCGCACCAAGGCTGTGGGCACTATCACCAAGGTACAGTCCCCCAGAGGCCAAGTACGGCCCTGAGCCACCTCTAGCCTCCCGGGAGGGGCCCATCACTGCAGCAGAAGAGCTGGATGGATGGTACTCCACCTTCTCTGCTCCCTGGGTCCCCATCTCTCTGGGTGTGGGTGGTGACTGTGGACTGGGTCAGGGTGTTCTGTAAGGATAGAGGTGGCAGAGTCTTGGCCAGGCCAGCTAGGGCCTGTGTCCGGTGGCCCTGGATTGGGGCTGTGCCTGAGATCTGAGTTAGAGGGCTTGATTGAATGAGTGGTAGGCGGCAGGAGGGGTGTGGGCTTGACTCCCTGTGGACCTGAGCCCACCTCTCACCTTCTGCAGACTCCAAACATGTTGGCCCCTGCGCCATTGAGAAGGAAGAAGGGGCCCGGCCTCTCTGAGATCTTGGAATCAGTTCAGGCTGCCCTTTGCTTCCCGAATATTCTTCCTCAGACCCATCCCGTGCCACAGTGGCTCTGGGGCTTTATTCTGCATGTGTAGCAGGGAGAGCGGTCATCTTCGGTTAGGCTGACTTGCCTTGGGGACTGGCTGAGTGCTTGGCACAGGCAGCAGTCCATGGCAGTGCCTCTGGGACTGGGTTGGGGAGCCCAGGGAAGAATCCGAGTCAGTTCTCATGACTGTGTTCTGATAACCATGCTCCAAATGCTCCCAGCTGTGAACACCCACATGGCCTCTTAGGGAGGCCAGATGTTAAACCTGCCCTAATGCCTGCCTAGGCCGGGAGGGGTCTTGGGGCTGGGGATTCCTGTGTTGTCCTGGGTTAGCAGGAGGAGCACCTCACGTGAAACTCACCATGCTCCAGGCAGAGCCTTTCTGAATGGGGCACTGAGAAAGGGAGGGCGGCCTGAGGCAGGTGGCTGTCTGGGCACACTGAGTGGGTGGGGGTGGCTTTCCATGGAGAGGTCAACTGCCAGAGAGGGCAGGGGCGGTGGGGAGCTGAGCAGATGGCCCTGTCCTGCACGTCAGGCCTCACCCTCACTCCCTTGGTTCCTGAAGCTCCTTCAGACCACCAACAACTCCCCGATGAACTCCAAGCCCCAGCAGATTAAAATGCAGTCGACGAAAAAGGGCCCCCTGAGCAAACGAGAAGAGGGGGGCCCCTCCAGCGGGCTGGCAGCCGGGGCACTGCCCCCTGGAGACGAGGCTGCCTCCCTAGGGGCTGCACAGCCGTCTGCAGCCAGCCGTCTCCAGCCACAGGTAAGCCTGCTGCCGGGACCCAGCCCGAGCACCTGGGGACAGGGTGAAGGTGTGTGTAACTGTGCCCTGTCCCACTGAGGAGCAGTCTCTGAGTTAGTATCTAGCAGATGTCTACAACTCTTGGCACACACTTGCTCTGCCAAACCAAGCCTAGCGCGCTGCCGTTGAGCCAATTCTGATTTGTAGTGAGTGATCCGACCCGATAAGACAGAACTCCTTAGGGGTTCTGAGACTATACCTCTAGATAGGAGCAGAGCCTCATTTTACTCGAGTTGCAGCTGGTGGGTTTGAACCAACAGCCTTTCGGTTAGCAGCCCAGTGCTTAATCCACAGCACCACCAGGACTCCTTAAGTGCTCTGCATGGGGGAGCTATTTGCCCTTAAAGCCGTGCCTTTCAAACCATGAGCTGTGGTCACAGAATCAGTCCACTGAGCCCCCGCTGTCTGCTCAGTCTCCCTGCCACCCTAGTCACTCACTGTCCTGCCTACTCTCTCGGGCTAGTGTTCCTCAGGCACCTCCTTTCTTTTCCAGCCCAAGCCCAGCAGTGGGGGCCGGCGACGGGGAGGCCAGAGGCATAAGGTCAAGTCCCAGGGAGCCTGCGTGACCCCTGCCAGCGGCTGCTGACTTTCCCCCAAGAGTATTCCTACCACCTGAAGGATCTTCACACTGGCCATGGCTGGAGCCACCCTCTTAGCCCCCCCCCATTTTCCAGGGTGGGGGGTGTTGTAATTTATAAGCTGAGGCAGGTGGCCAGACTTCCTGAAGACTGACCATCGCCCATCCCCTCCCCACCTTTCTCCTCACCCACACGTTTTTTGTACATCTGGGCCCTTAGTTGTTGTCTTTTTATTACATATCTCTGTCTAACTCAAGCGTGTATGTGTGTGTGTGTGTGTGTATGTGAGCGTGTGAGTGTGTGTGTATGTGAGTGAGTGAGTGAGGTGAAGGGTGCAGTTGGTTGGGACCCTGCCAGTCTCTCCTTTTTTCCGTCCATGGCTGGTTACTAACTTCGGGGAGCTGTCCACCTGCCTGCCTGCCTGTCTGTCCATCATCTGTGAGAAAATCCTCAGGGCCTTTCGGGGTGTCAGGGACCTGAAGGAGCACCCCACCTTCCCTTGCTCCTCCTGTTCCTCTGTCCTCTGAGCCCATCCGTGGAGCCCAGATTCTGAGCTGAGGGGCTTCTGGGCTATGTCCTGCTGCTGTCAGAGCAGGGCCTGGAGAGTGGTGGCTCCCTGTTTCTCTCTCCGCTGCCCCCAGGTTATCTAAGCCCAAGAACAGGTAATGCCAAAAGCTTTTAAGTGTTAGCCTGTGTGGAGGGGAGCGGACATTGAACTGAAGGACCTTCCCACCCCCAGCTCTGACCCATAGACACAGGTGCGTTTTCCCCTTGGAGACTGACAATCTTTCATCTGCCTGGACTGCCAGGACCCTCCTGGGCCCGGCCAGGCCTACCGAGCCTGGATCTGCCTCCTACTTGGACCTTGGCTCAGAAGTGTGTTGCATCTCCGGGCGCCAGTTACCCGTGCAGGGCCTGGGCCTGCGCGGGGTCATGTGTCCTAGCACTTCCAGTGGGTGGGGGTGAGGTGTTGCGCATCCCTCCCCACCACCTCCTGCACGTCCCCGCACGCACATCAGCCACAGGATCTGGTGTGCCGTGTCATGTGTCCTGTGTCCGGTTTGGAAGCCCTCGTTTGGTGAGGTTGAGAAGACTCATCCAGATGCAGGGTGGAAGTGCCCAGGCCGGAAATGGCAACTGAAGCCTGGAACTCACCTGGACTGAAGTCCCAGTTTAGGGTGGACTAATGGACTTAAAATGACACTTATCCAGCCTGGCAGACACCAGCTGGCTGGGCCTTCCTCGGTCTCACTTCCTATCTCCCACCTTTCTTTATGCCTCCTGCTTCCAGACTGTCCCCTTACCTCCCCTGCCTCCAACCACTTCTAGTTACCACTGACTTGTGCCCATGAGTTGATCTGACCAGCAAACAAAATAAAAGTTGGTTCTAAGTTGCCAGTGGTCGTGGTCCCTGTCTAGTCCCCACTAGGCAGATGTGGCTCCGAAGTTCAGGTTCCTCCACTAGCTGTGAGACCCAGACAAGCCCCGGCCTTCTCTGAACATCGATCTCTCCATCCACTCCTTGAGGCAGATTGCTCCCTCAGGGTGGTGGGGACCTGTGAAGCCAGGGGAGGGCCTCCTCAGTGGTCCCCACACTCCCATCCATGGCTGCATCTTGTCCCAAGTCCGTCACAGAGACCGAGAGCTGGGGGCCTCACATGCTTCGTGCTCCCTGCTCTCCACACATGCCATCTGTGAGGGAGGAGCTGCTGGTTCGTTTTCTAGCTAAGGAAGCTGAAGCTTAGAGGATGTGCCCTAGTACTGGCGTGCTCTGGCCTTGCCCGCTGGGTACCTACCTTGGAATCAGCCTGGAGTTCAGTCCTAGTGGCTGCTTCTGCCCCTGGGGCCCGTTCTGTGGAACTTGTGCCCTGCAGGCCTTAGTCGTGGCTTGGAGCCATGGACCCTTTTGTTTGAACTCGGCCCCTACAAGTGCCGGTGGCTGCCATATCCACTCCTGCTTTCCGAAGCTGTGGCTGCTGGTCACACAGAGATTCAGGAGGACGGCTCTCTGTGTGTTCCAGGCTGCCTGAGGTGTCTCACAGGGATGAGCCCTACCAACTACCCATTTGGAACAAGACACCTACCCTTTTGTAGTTGACCAAGAATAAAGTTATTAATCCAACTGGCAAGTCCTGGCCCTTCTGTCTGCAACTGGATGGGGCAGGAGGAGGGGAGGTGGTAACAGGAGTAAGGCCCTGAGGTGGTGGAACAGGACAGGTGGCCCAGGGCCAGGCTGACCCTTGTATCCCTGCTGTCCTGTCCTGCCTAAAGGAAGGAACAAGAATGTGCAGTGGCTGCTATGAGGGGAAGTGGAAGTATGACGGGGGTTTGTGAACTTCCAGGAGGAAGATGGTGTGGGGGCAGTTCAGGAGGGACACACAGCCCAGGACAGGCTCTGACAGGGGTGGCAGGTTCCAGGGCGTCATTCACCCGTACTCTGGGGTGTCTCCCTTGTTGAGGCCTGGTGTTGGGTAACCTTGGGAAGGAAGTGAGCAGGAACAGGAAGAGTGGGTCAGAGCTGAGTGGAGGGCTTGCTCCTGCCCAGCATCCTCCCCCCATGGCACTTTGTCTCCATACAGCTGAGTTCCAGCTTCTGTTTTCTTAGCCATTAGGAAGACCTGCCCTGGGCCAGTTTCTGTGGTCAGGACAAATGGTGCCAGACACCCATTGGGGAGCAGCCCATCAGCACGTCCTCGGAGTCTCTGAGTCTAGGGAGATGTTTGCTGGGAAGGCTTAAGACCCAGGCCCTCCAAGCTGGCGGATTCAGACTCTGTAGGGGACCCATGGGCGCCATCCTAGACACACAGCAAATGTCTAATTCTTCAACACTCAAAGTGATCAGTAGTTCAGATTGTCAAGTTTTGTTCCTTTTCAAACAGCATTGAAAAAAATCAGGAAATGTCTCATGTTTCTAAGCAAGAGGGCTGTCAATGCCAGCCCACAATGCCCCTCACTTCCTTCTGTCAGCCATAGCCCCAAAACAGACTGCAATCACCCTGCCGTAGGCCCCCCGCCATCCTCAGGTCCAGGTTTTAGCCAAGAGGTGAACACAAGAGGTCAGGCTTCTGAAACGCCAGCATTATTTTGCCTCTGAATCCATTCTCCCGTTTTCCTAAGAGCAGTCTCATAAACAGCCACTACACTTGATTAAATCCTGGGCATAATTTATTTTTTTTTGCATAGGCATAAATTAGAATCTGGAGATACAAAATTAAGAACCAATAGTGCAGCATTTGAGACAGGAGAGCACAGGACAAAACCTGGTTGATGGACTAGATGGACTGGCTATGTGCAGCGCTGCCCCCTGGGAGCCAGCCTGGGTTCCACCCTGATACAGCAGCCCTTCCTGTCCCTTACCCTACAGACCAGAACCAATGAGTACGGCCGGAGCATCGCCCCAAGCCCTTGGCAACCAGGTTCTGAGGAACTGAAAAGCCCTCAGAGCCCCACAGAACGGGGCTAGGAATCAAGCCCTTAGCTTTTTTTTTTTTTAAATGTTAAAAAACAGACCTTGAAAAATATGTACATAATACAGTTGGGCCTGCTGGGTCAAAAGTCCCTTCTCACCCCTCTCCCTACCCAATGTAACTGCCAACTACGCCCCACCCCCAACCCAAACTCCCTCCCCCTGTGGTAAATGAGCCAGAAAAAAACCAAATCCAAGCAAGAGCTGAAAGAGCCCATGGGAAGGCTGAGGGTTAGGGCCCCTTGCAGCAGGGGCCTGAGTAGGTTTGTGGGGGGCAGGGCCCACTATAACACCCTGAAAATCCCCACCGAGCTGCCCCCAGTGACCCAGTAGGACAGGCTAGGGCTGCCCAGGGCCTCCTGGACTGATTTTCCCAGAAGCAGACCGCCACACATCTCTGCGGATCAGCTGCGGGGTTTGAGTTGTTGAGCTTCTGGTTAGCAGCTGATCAACCTGACAAGCAGTGCTCAGCCCCAATGTTAATGGCCCCACACATTTAGTGGGTTCCCAGGCTCTGGGGAGTGTGGGGCCCAGGCAGGCCCTGGTAGGAATGGGGAACAGTGAGCTTTGCTTTAGTGGCAGAGAGATAAAGCATCAACTACCCCAGCAGAGGGTCCTGGCCACTCAGAGCCACACAGTACCTCGTGCCCCTCTAAGGTATGCAAAGCCACAGCCCCACCTGTACCCAGGACAAATACAGTGTGTAGACCTCCCTGGGAATGCAGGCCAAGCTTCCCTAGGTTAGGACGTTAGAAGATGCTAGAAGAACAAGGCCACCTGCACCAGTGCATCCTGTCCGCGTCAATCTGTCCTGCGCTCACATGCCCAGGCCCGGGCTTATCCCACCCACAGCTTTGGCACCTGCTTTGTCCCTCACCTCAGCTCCTGGGTGCTAGCTGGACACCAAGACCCAGGGACCTTTGCTGAAGCGTGTTTCTTCACTCCCCTTCCCGTGATATGATACATATATACACCTTCCCAGGAGGGGGACAGCTGTGTGCATTGCGTCCTCTCGTCCATCAGGCCAGGCCTGTCTTCTGGGAGTCAGGATGCTAGTCAAGCATGTGGGAAAGTGGCGGGGTACTGCTTACCCCCCAGAGGAGGGGGACACGGCGTGCTGAGTGGACCTCCTGGTGGCTGGCAGTAGGCACGAAAAGCAAGAAGGCCTAGTGAGCAGGCTCCCCGTGCACCCTGAAGCGGTAGATGCAGGTGTACTCAGGGTGACCCCAGTTGGTCAGAATCCGCAGCTCCACCACCTGGTATGAGGCCATTCTCGGGACCTGGGTAGAGAAGGCAGCTATCAGGCGGAAGCACTTGCCCTAGGGCCCGGAGGGTACCCTTCCTGTTTCCCTCTAATTTCAAAAAGCCACTGCCTTCGACTTGGAAAGGTTTCTGGACTGAGGTGACACCAAGGCTTCAGTGTCCCTACAGGGCCCAGCCCACAGGCCAAGGAGGAAAGGACTGCAATCAGGAGCAGAGACACTAATCCAACATCAGGATCAAGTTCAAGTAGCTTCTCAGAAGTATCTTCACAGAGGGTTCAGTGTAGGCTGATGTCACAGAAGAATCTCCTCTCAGAACCCAGGATTCCCTCCTCGAGATTTTTCAAGTCCTAGTCCCACTCTCCTGCAGGTCCAGACTCTACACAGTCTCCTGTCCTCTCCATGTTCCTGAAGTCCCAGGTTCCAGACTCTGTCTGTCTATGCACCACCTGAGAAACCGCAGCTGCTCACCACGTCCTTCCTGTTTTATTTAGTTCACCCCATAGTCCACCAAACATCTATCATTGTTGTACTGTGGTGGCTTGTGAGGTGCTGTGATTCTGGAAGCTATGCCACCGGTATTTTAAATACCAGCAGGGTTACCAATGGTGGACAGGTTTCAGATGAGCTTCCAGATAAAGACAGGCTAGGAAGAAGTAGTGACGAACTATTTAGTCACTGAAAACCTTATGAATAGCAGAGAAACACTGTCAGATATAGTGCCGGAAAATGAGCCCCTCAGGTTGGAAGGCACTCAAAATGCGACTGGGGAAGAGCTGCCTCCTCAAA